CATCATGAGCATCGATCCTCGCGGACATGCTTAAGCCAATGAAGAAACGAAGACTGAAACAAAAAATACATTTTGCGTACAAAATACTGTTCTTTCCTTTCGATCTAACTAATATAGGAATTCAATCTAAACAATCGATATTTTTTTAATTATTAGGGCTATACAATTAAAAAGTTAACATATACACATGCTTCATAGAATACCAAATTATGACGATGTCAAGAACAAACAAAACTTAATTGACCGAACTTATGATGATCTAAATCCTGATTCAATTTTGCTTGAAACGAACGTTTCCGGACATTCTGATCGTATATTCGCTGTTGTATCTCGTTTCTTCCTGTGTTTTCTGCTTTTTAGCAGGGGGTTTCGCGCCCGAAACGTACCGCCACATGAGATTATGATGTATACATATATATAGTTGTCAGTGTCAGGACATTATCGAGTAGAATAACGATTTTCGTGATACGATCGGAAGATCTTGGGTGGTTTTCGTTTACATTACACTTTGTTAGAGAAAGATCAACGGATGATGTTCCAAATGATTTTTGCAAACTTCTGGTAAAGTCCATAAAATCACGATAACAACCATTCCAGTTCCAAGTTTGGATCGGAAGCGAAATCTCGCAACACAAAGCGTAAATATATTGGTTTATCAGCTGTTTATATACATTTTAGACCACAAACGTAGTTCGCCAGCAGGACTACTGAAAATTCAACTCGACCATGTCATTTTATTGTCGCCAAGGGCGACGCGACAGGACGAGTGTTTATTTCTTCCGCTGTTAACCGACAGGTGCTCTAAGTTGTCCTACATCTGTACCTCACCCTAAGCCCCCGCCCAACTCAATATATCCCGCCTAATCTTACAATTTGGATTAACACTGCCTTTTCTGATGCCCAGCCCCTAATTTAGATCTGTCTGATTTGGTTGGTTGATTTGTTGTTTAACGCCGCAATCAGCAATATTACAGCTATTTGATGGCGGTCTGTAAATAATCGAGTCCGGACCAGACAATCCAGTGATTGAAATGATGAGCATCGATCCACGCAATTGGGATCAATGACATGCATCAACCAAGTCAGCGAGCTTGACCACCCGATCCCGTTAGACGCCTTTTACGGCAAGCATGGGTTGCTGAAGACCTATTCTACCCCGATATCTGTGTGAATACCACCACCCTGAGAATGTCGATAACAGTCCAAACTCATTGTGAAGATCCGGGGTAGAATAGATCTTCAGCCCACTGCTTGCCGTAAAAGGCGACTAACGGCATCGGGTGGTCAGGCTCACTGACGTGGTTGAAGCATCGACGCTTATGCTATCAATCACTGGATTACCTGGTCAAGACCGCCGTCATGTATATAACTGGAACCAAACCAACTCACCTTGATCATTTCCACGTCACTATGAGCCCCAGCAATGAAAATGAACCGAAAACTCAAACATTGCCCATGCCGATCGCGATTGATAACCTGTCTTTTAACCTCCTCACTAGGTATGAGCTGGCCATTGCACTCGCACACATCCTCCCTCGCCTTGGAATTACGTGAAGCAAGTTCCCCCTTCCCAATTTCATTACTGACAGGTGCTATAAATGATCTGGAATCTGTAACCCCCCCTGCACTGACCTACGTGTCCTATACCCACGTAACGAATAACCCCAAAGGTTTCCGCCAAAAGCTCCGGATCTCCCGCCCTTCCCAGATAACACAACTTCATCGGTCCGTTGGTGGCTAAAATCGGCACATAGCCAGTGGCGTATTGCCGGTGGCCCGCTCGCGGTCCGCCAACTTGTATGTTTCAACCCAGCAAATACACAACGCTGTATATAAACTGTGGGAATGTTAGGTCGTAAAATAACATTGTGATTACGTTACATTACATTTTACAACCACTGGTATTGGTCTGAAGTCGGCACATAGCCAGTGGTTTACTGCCAGCGGCCCGCTCGCGGTCCGACAACGTGGACGAGCTGTTTATGTCTCACTCCAAACCACCAACCTTGTGTTGTGCGAATGTTACGTTGTAACTTTACATTGTAACAACGTTGCATTACATTTTACAACCTCCAGTATCGGTCGGCACGAGGCTTAGTCGGTACATTGCCAATGGCTTATTATCAGCGGCCCGCTCGCGGTCCGCCATCGTGTATGCGGTGTGCGAGTTCTTAGTCAGCATGTTTATGTTCATGCAATAAAATATTAGATCTCTCCATATACTAGTATAGCTTGGCCAAAACTTTAAAATAAAACAAAAACCAATAAAAAAAACAATTACTGAAAAACATTAACGATGTTTCCTAGTTTGTATTTTCGTTATTCAATTCCAAAAAATATAGACTCTATACTTTTTCTAATTTTTGTATCTATTTCAAGCATGTCCTATTTTAGAATTGGGAGCTTTATTTGAAGTAAAGGCTCCGTTCGAAGTAAACTATCATGCTTGTCTTTAAAATAACATGTATATTAGGGCGGGTATGAGTCCAAATTTACTACCCGGGTCGCCCACCTCCCTATTACCCAGGTACCCGCTGTAGATATCTAGAGATAGGTACACACTTTCCGATTTGGAAAAGTTTGACCGTAGCCCAAGCAAAATGTATTTAGATACACGTGTAAAGCGGTCATGCATACGCTGCATGAAGTTTTATCTTAATTCAAATATATAAAAATCAGAAGGAATGCGTGCATAGTCAGACAGAAATGGAAACATTAATGACTTGTAGTGTAATCATATGAGTTTTAGATATTTTTTGTTATTAAACAATATATCATGTGACTATAACCAGGGGTGCGGGTTGTACTGTGGGTACCCGGCTATACTTAGGACCCACTCAACCCGAGTACCCGAGTTACCCCTGCCAGCCCTAATGTATATACCAAGGTAAGCCAAAGTGTTAATTATGTCATGGAAGTTTTCACTGGCATAAAATTCAACAAAACTAAATTTTCGATCACTATAACGCAATATCGTCGCAATACATATAGTTTACACTTGGGTTTGAATTAAGTTGTATTTCAAAGGCGGGTCCAGCAGTATTTTAAAAAAAGTGAGGGGTCCAAAGTATGAAAATGTTAGGGAAGAGGGATATCTGTAGATGTTCATCATTAGCAGTGCCTCACATTATAATATTCCAAACTTGACCATTTGATATTCTCAGGCGGGAAGATGAGCTTTGATTTTTGTATGGAGACTTGTCAGCTTCCAAACCAGATATTTCATTAAATAAAGCTACGTGCCTAAATGTTTTTTTCTAAACCTTTTTGTGGCAATTTCTTAATTAAGTCTAGTCGTCCAAGGCGCCGCAATTACCGAATCCCAACTCTGATTATGAGCAGAAACCTAAACGTATTACCAATTGTGTAGATAGATGTTCATGATGTCAATCACCGTTTGGCTGGTCCAGAGTCGATTATATTTACAGACCGCCGTCATGTGTGTGGAATATTGCCGAGTTAGACAACAAACAAAACCAATTATTCTGACATTTTAGTCCAATATTCAGGTTATCTTATTCCTTCTATATGATTTATTTCAGCTCGTTTGTCCTGTCTAATAAACTAGCTATTATTAATTGGAAACATGAGATTACTGGTTGGTTGGTTTGTTGTTTAACGCCGCAATCAGCAATACTCCAGCTATATGACGGCGGTCTGTAAATAATAGAGTATGGACCAGACAATCCAGTGATTGATATCATGAGCATCAATCCACGCAGTTGGTATCGATGACATGCATCAACCAAGTCAGCGAGCCTCACCACCCGATCCCGTTAGTCGCCTTTTACGGCAAGCATGGGTTGCTGAAGATCTATTCTACCCCGGATTCTTCACGGGTTATGTAAAGAAACCCGTTGAATCTTTATTTTAATATTGCAGCTATATCTATAAATTTGAAACAAAACCAGTAACTTAGAATCATTTAATGTTGGTTTCAGCAACAACCATGAAGATTATTTCCCCACAAACTAAGTAACAAAATCCTAGCTACTTTTCACCCCGCGCCGAAAAAGGGTCATGAAAATAATGAGTAGTCATGCCTATGTACTTATTCGTATATTCATTTAAAGTAATTCCATGTTTGCGTTTCTATTGCAGGTTGGTACCCTCGGCTGGGACACGACTCCCGCGTGTGTCCGGCGAATCATGCTATTCGGTACTCACCAACCTATATACAAATGAACTGGTTGGGCGGAGAGGGAATAAAGCCGCTTCTCGTCCATCCAATTACGTGAAATTGTCGCAATGTATGCCATACATAAATGGAGGTCGCAAATAGACAGGAACGATTTTTTTTCTTATAGAAAACTGAACTGCGCCATTACTGTATCAATCAATCATAGAATAAAAAATGTTTTTATTGACATACTTACGTTTTTATCTCATCATAGTCAGTGTTGTATGTTAATCAACGTCATGCGGAATCCTCATGCATGTGATATATACCATATAAGTTGTCAGAAAGGTGGATAATGTAAAATATCACAACCGTAATATAAATATCGGAAATTGGCATTACTTTTGTTTATGGACGTGTCAAATTTCTTCCATTCGTTTGTCCTACGTGAGTGAGTGAGTTTAACGCCGAGTTGGGTTTAACGCCGCTTTTAACAGTATTCCAGTCATATAACGGCGTGACAGCTTAATGTGGGGGGAAAGCCCGAAGTTATGCAGGTCTCAGACGTTTACCATTTCGGTGAAACCCACGAGCATGGGTATGGTGCTGACAAACATAGAAACATAATCGGGGCGAACCGGGATTCGAACCCACAGTCATAGGTTTCTGGCGTGCCCAAGGGACGTTTGTCCTACGTTGTGCCGATGATGAAAGTTGTGTTCGTTGCCCAGACATAACGTATGAGGTAACCATTAAATATTAGTCCATGGAAATACGCATGCACGCATGCACACATCGAATATATTGTTATCCGTTAGACGACAAATTAATGAAAGCAATTATGAATTTAAAGGTATAAATGAGATCACGTCACCAACAATTGATTAAAACATATTTTAATGCGGAAAATCAAATGGATTAGTCACAATTAATACACCAATGAGGCCGTCTATATACATTTCTTTACATGGTAATATGCGATTTTTTATTGTGAAAAATATATGTACAGTGCATAGAAATAATATACAACTAATGAGAAAATAACACACACACATAATATTTACATAATAAACAAGTCCAAAGATGAGCTGTATAATTTACTCAACCGGTTTCACGCATGTGATTTTCAAGAGTAGTTATACTGTTACGCTGTGTGTGTGTATGTGTGTGTGTATATATATATATGGTGTTATTTGCATTTGTATAAGACACATATTAACAATGGTTAATTTGAAACCACTGCAGGAAAAGAAAAAGAAACTAAAAGTGAATAATATTTGTTGTTGTTCACTCGGTGTAGGGAGTTGTGCCCAGATAGAAACCTTTCTGTAGATACAAGTGAAGCTAATTTTGGCAATATTTGTCAGAGAGTTGTATATTTTTCTCAATAACGGGCATTTAATGTAAGAAGTCAGTTTCAGATTGGCGGCCACATAATCGAGTGTGTGCCAACCGTTGTGTTTATCTAAAACCCAACTGCGTAAACCAAGGGGCAAATAAACCACATACCTACAGGTGATTTCATATTGTTGATTTAGAATTGAAAATATCTCAACTTATAATGTGAAAAACAATGAAATGCACCGGCACCTGTTCAACACTAAGACTATTAATATTAATGAAGTCTCGTACGTATATATACTCTGTCATACGCTACATATACATACACATACAGATTGGTATGCATGTACGAGCCAAAAGAAAACGTTGCTTCAGCGTTTTACTTTCAATGAGGCCACCTTACAATATCCAGACTTGATTATTTTACAGACCGCAGTCATATAGAATCTTGCTGGAATATTGCTGAGTGCGGCGTTACAACAAACAAACAAACCTTAGATTATATAACGACATAATTTATATCTACGAATAGTTTTCCAATGTTTCAACAACCTTATGTTGCAACCTAACTGAAAAAAACATTACTGGAACATTCCTACATGTTAGTGACAATATGTAACACAAACGCGTTTCCAAAAACGTTTCCAAAAACATGACATGACATGACATGCCTCGTGACATGACGTAAATACTAATATATGACGTCATATATCATATGTTACGTCACATAATTAATTCCCGCCAAAATCAACAGCTGAACTTCTGACAGATCAGCAGCAGCATCGGTATTGATATAATCGGTTTTTACGGTAAGTGAATTTTGCATAAATGGAACTTACTTTACATTAAATATGAATGTGTTTTACACATAAACAATACAAAAAAGAATTTTTTCAAAGGTGTATTGTCGTTACAAGACGAAATTCCCACAAGTTTTACTCATTAATTAATTTTAATTAGTTTCTAACTTTCATGATATTTTAAAATGACAAAACAGGATTTTTTACAATGGTACATTGTCGGTACAGGTCAAAATGTCAATTTCTTTGCTCATTAAGTAGTTTCAATTTGTTCCTAAGCGTTGCGATATTGTTATCGGACTTTTTCTTAATGGTATATTTTTTTTACAAGTCAAAATTCACACAAGTTTTACTCATGGCAAAAATCAGATTTTATCACAATGGTGCAATGTCGTTACAAGTCAAAATTCCAAATGTTTTATTCATAAGGTAGTTTTTATTTGTTTCTTAATTTTTTAAAGATATTTTTAAATGACAACAATGGATTTATTTCCAATGTTACATTCTCGTTACAAGTCAAATTCCCACAAGTTTTCCTCATTAAGTAGTTTTAATTTGTTTCACAATTTTGAGTCATTTTTAAATGACAAAAATGACCTTTCTCAATGGTACATTGTTGTTACAAGTAAAAATTCCCACAGGTTTTACACATTAATAAGTTTTAATTTGTCTAAATTTTGAGATATTTCTATATGACCAAAATAAGATTTTTTTAACAATGGTGCATTGTCGTTACAAGTAAAAATTCCCCAAAGTTTTCCTCATTAAAGTCATTTTAATTTGTTTCTAATTATTGAGATATTTCTAAATGTCAAAAAAAGATTTATTTACAATAGTACATTGTGGTTACAAGTCAAAATTCCCAAAGGTTTTACTCGCTAGGTAGTTTTAATCTATTTCTCAATGTTGAGCTATTCTTTTCTAGACAAAACAGGATTTTCCCCAATGGTTCATTGTGGGTATAGGTCAAAATGTCAAGTTTTAGTTTGTTCCCAAGCGTTGAGATATTTTTATGTGATTTTGTTTACCGATGGTACAATGTGGTTACAAGTCAAAATCCCCAAAAGTTTGACTCATTAGGTAGTTTTAATTTGCTACTAAATTTCGAGATATTTCTAAATGACCAAATATGGACTTTTTCCAATGGTACATGTCAAAATTCCCAAAGGTTTTACTCATTAAGTAATTTTAATTTGTTTCTAATTATTGAGATATTTCTAAATGTCAAAAAAAGATTTATTTACAATAGTACATTGTGGTTACAAGTCAAAATTCCCAAAGCTTTTACTCGCTAGGTAGTTTTAATCTATTTCTCAATGTTGAGCTATTCTTTTCTAGACAAAACAGGATTTTCCCCAATGGTTCATTGTGGGTATAGGTCAAAATGTCAAGTTTTAGTTTGTTCCCAAGCGTTGAGATATTTTTATGTGATTTTGTTTACCGATGGTACATTGTGGTTACAAGTCAAAATCCCCAAAAGTTTGACTCATTAGGTAGTTTTAATTTGCTACTAAATTTCGAGATATTTCTAAATGACCAAATATGGACTTTTTCCAATGGTACATGTCAAAATTCCCAAAGGTTTTACTCATTAAGTAATTTTAATTTGTTTCTAATTATTGAGATATTTCTAAATGTCAAAAAAAGATTTATTTACAATAGTACATTGTGGTTACAAGTCAAAATTCCCAAAGCTTTTACTCGCTAGGTAGTTTTAATCTATTTCTCAATGTTGAGCTATTCTTTTCTAGACAAAACAGGATTTTCCCCAATGGTTCATTGTGGGTATAGGTCAAAATGTCAAGTTTTAGTTTGTTCCCAAGCGTTGAGATATTTTTATGTGATTTTGTTTACCGATGGTACATTGTGGTTACAAGTCAAAATCCCCAAAAGTTTGACTCATTAGGTAGTTTTAATTTGCTACTAAATTTCGAGATATTTCTAAATGACCAAATATGGACTTTTTCCAATGGTACATGTCAAAATTCCCAAAGGTTTTACTCATTAAGTAATTTTAATTTGTTTCTAATTATTGAGATATTTCTAAATGTCAAAAAAAGATTTATTTACAATAGTACATTGTGGTTACAAGTCAAAATTCCCAAAGCTTTTACTCGCTAGGTAGTTTTAATCTATTTCTCAATGTTGAGCTATTCTTTTCTAGACAAAACAGGATTTTCACCAATGGTTCATTGTGGGTATAGGTCAAAATGTCAAGTTTTAGTTTGTTCCCAAGCGTTGAGATATTTCTATGTGATTTTGTTTACCGATGGTACATTGTGGTTACAAGTCAAAATCCCCAAAAGTTTGACTCATTAGGTAGTTTTAATTTGCTACTAAATTTCGAGATATTTCTAAATGACCAAATATGGACTTTTTCCAATGGTACATGTCAAAATTCCCAAAGGTTTTACTCATTAAGTAATTTTAATTTGTTTCTAATTATTGAGATATTTCTAAATGTCAAAAAAAGATTTATTTACAATAGTACATTGTGGTTACAAGTCAAAATTCCCAAAGCTTTTACTCGCTAGGTAGTTTTAATCTATTTCTCAATGTTGAGCTATTCTTTTCTAGACAAAACAGGATTTTCCCCAATGGTTCATTGTGGGTATAGGTCAAAATGTCAAGTTTTAGTTTGTTCCCAAGCGTTGAGATATTTTTATGTGATTTTGTTTACCGATGGTACATTGTGGTTACAAGTCAAAATCCCCAAAAGTTTGACTCATTAGGTAGTTTTAATTTGCTACTAAATTTCGAGATATTTCTAAATGACCAAATATGGACTTTTTCCAATGGTACATGTCAAAATTCCCAAAGGTTTTACTCATTAAGTAATTTTAATTTGTTTCTAATTATTGAGATATTTCTAAATGTCAAAAAAAGATTTATTTACAATAGTACATTGTGGTTACAAGTCAAAATTCCCAAAGCTTTTACTCGCTAGGTAGTTTTAATCTATTTCTCAATGTTGAGCTATTCTTTTCTAGACAAAACAGGATTTTCCCCAATGGTTCATTGTGGGTATAGGTCAAAATGTCAAGTTTTAGTTTGTTCCCAAGCGTTGAGATATTTCTATGTGATTTTGTTTACCGATGGTACAATGTGGTTACAAGTCAAAATCCCCAAAAGTTTGACTCATTAGGTAGTTTTAATTTGCTACTAAATTTCGAGATATTTCTAAATGACCAAATATGGACTTTTTCCAATGGTACATGTCAAAATTCCCAAAGGTTTTACTCATTAAGTAATTTTAATTTGTTTCTAATTATTGAGATATTTCTAAATGTCAAAAAAAGATTTATTTACAATAGTACATTGTGGTTACAAGTCAAAATTCCCAAAGCTTTTACTCGCTAGGTAGTTTTAATCTATTTCTCAATGTTGAGCTATTCTTTTCTAGACAAAACAGGATTTTCCCCAATGGTTCATTGTGGGTATAGGTCAAAATGTCAAGTTTTAGTTTGTTCCCAAGCGTTGAGATATTTCTATGTGATTTTGTTTACCGATGGTACATTGTGGTTACAAGTCAAAATCCCCAAAAGTTTGACTCATTAGGTAGTTTTAATTTGCTACTAAATTTCGAGATATTTCTAAATGACCAAATATGGACTTTTTCCAATGGTACATGTCAAAATTCCCAAAGGTTTTACTCATTAAGTAATTTTAATTTGTTTCTAATTATTGAGATATTTCTAAATGTCAAAAAAAGATTTATTTACAATAGTACATTGTGGTTACAAGTCAAATTCCCAAAGCTTTTACTCGCTAGGTAGTTTTAATCTATTTCTCAATGTTGAGCTATTCTTTTCTAGACAAAACAGGATTTTCACCAATGGTTCATTGTGGGTATAGGTCAAAATGTCAAGTTTTAGTTTGTTCCCAAGCGTTGAGATATTTCTATGTGATTTTGTTTACCGATGGTACATTGTGGTTACAAGTCAAAATCCCCAAAAGTTTGACTCATTAGGTAGTTTTAATTTGCTACTAAATTTCGAGATATTTCTAAATGACCAAATATGGACTTTTTCCAATGGTACATGTCAAAATTCCCAAAGGTTTTACTCATTAAGTAATTTTAATTTGTTTCTAATTATTGAGATATTTCTAAATGTCAAAAAAAGATTTATTTACAATAGTACATTGTGGTTACAAGTCAAAATTCCCAAAGCTTTTACTCGCTAGGTAGTTTTAATCTATTTCTCAATGTTGAGCTATTCTTTTCTAGACAAAACAGGATTTTCCCCAATGGTTCATTGTGGGTATAGGTCAAAATGTCAAGTTTTAGTTTGTTCCCAAGCGTTGAGATATTTCTATGTGATTTTGTTTACCGATGGTACATTGTGGTTACAAGTCAAAATCCCCAAAAGTTTGACTCATTAGGTAGTTTTAATTTGCTACTAAATTTCGAGATATTTCTAAATGACCAAATATGGACTTTTTCCAATGGTACATGTCAAAATTCCCAAAGGTTTTACTCATTAAGTAATTTTAATTTGTTTCTAATTATTGAGATATTTCTAAATGTCAAAAAAAGATTTATTTACAATAGTACATTGTGGTTACAAGTCAAAATTCCCAAAGCTTTTACTCGCTAGGTAGTTTTAATCTATTTCTCAATGTTGAGCTATTCTTTTCTAGACAAAACAGGATTTTCACCAATGGTTCATTGTGGGTATAGGTCAAAATGTCAAGTTTTAGTTTGTTCCCAAGCGTTGAGATATTTCTATGTGATTTTGTTTACCGATGGTACATTGTGGTTACAAGTCAAAATCCCCAAAAGTTTGACTCATTAGGTAGTTTTAATTTGCTACTAAATTTCGAGATATTTCTAAATGACCAAATATGGACTTTTTCCAATGGTACATGTCAAAATTCCCAAAGGTTTTACTCATTAAGTAATTTTAATTTGTTTCTAATTATTGAGATATTTCTAAATGTCAAAAAAAGATTTATTTACAATAGTACATTGTGGTTACAAGTCAAAATTCCCAAAGCTTTTACTCGCTAGGTAGTTTTAATCTATTTCTCAATGTTGAGCTATTCTTTTCTAGACAAAACAGGATTTTCCCCAATGGTTCATTGTGGGTATAGGTCAAAATGTCAAGTTTTAGTTTGTTCCCAAGCGTTGAGATATTTTTATGTGATTTTGTTTACCGATGGTACATTGTGGTTACAAGTCAAAATCCCCAAAAGTTTGACTCATTAGGTAGTTTTAATTTGCTACTAAATTTCGAGATATTTCTAAATGACCAAATATGGACTTTTTCCAATGGTACATGTCAAAATTCCCAAAGGTTTTACTCATTAAGTAATTTTAATTTGTTTCTAATTATTGAGATATTTCTAAATGTCAAAAAAAGATTTATTTACAATAGTACATTGTGGTTACAAGTCAAAATTCCCAAAGCTTTTACTCGCTAGGTAGTTTTAATCTATTTCTCAATGTTGAGCTATTCTTTTCTAGACAAAACAGGATTTTCCCCAATGGTTCATTGTGGGTATAGGTCAAAATGTCAAGTTTTAGTTTGTTCCCAAGCGTTGAGATATTTTTATGTGATTTTGTTTACCGATGGTACATTGTGGTTACAAGTCAAAATCCCCAAAAGTTTGACTCATTAGGTAGTTTTAATTTGCTACTAAATTTCGAGATATTTCTAAATGACCAAATATGGACTTTTTCCAATGGTACATGTCAAAATTCCCAAAGGTTTTACTCATTAAGTAATTTTAATTTGTTTCTAATTATTGAGATATTTCTAAATGTCAAAAAAAGATTTATTTACAATAGTACATTGTGGTTACAAGTCAAAATTCCCAAAGCTTTTACTCGCTAGGTAGTTTTAATCTATTTCTCAATGTTGAGCTATTCTTTTCTAGACAAAACAGGATTTTCACCAATGGTTCATTGTGGGTATAGGTCAAAATGTCAAGTTTTAGTTTGTTCCCAAGCGTTGAGATATTTCTATGTGATTTTGTTTACCGATGGTACATTGTGGTTACAAGTCAAAATCCCCAAAAGTTTGACTCATTAGGTAGTTTTAATTTGCTACTAAATTTCGAGATATTTCTAAATGACCAAATATGGACTTTTTCCAATGGTACATGTCAAAATTCCCAAAGGTTTTACTCATTAAGTAATTTTAATTTGTTTCTAATTATTGAGATATTTCTAAATGTCAAAAAAAGATTTATTTACAATAGTACATTGTGGTTACAAGTCAAAATTCCCAAAGCTTTTACTCGCTAGGTAGTTTTAATCTATTTCTCAATGTTGAGCTATTCTTTTCTAGACAAAACAGGATTTTCCCCAATGGTTCATTGTGGGTATAGGTCAAAATGTCAAGTTTTAGTTTGTTCCCAAGCGTTGAGATATTTCTATGTGATTTTGTTTACCGATGGTACAATGTGGTTACAAGTCAAAATCCCCAAAAGTTTGACTCATTAGGTAGTTTTAATTTGCTACTAAATTTCGAGATATTTCTAAATGACCAAATATGGACTTTTTCCAATGGTACATGTCAAAATTCCCAAAGGTTTTACTCATTAAGTAATTTTAATTTGTTTCTAATTATTGAGATATTTCTAAATGTCAAAAAAAGATTTATTTACAATAGTACATTGTGGTTACAAGTCAAAATTCCCAAAGCTTTTACTCGCTAGGTAGTTTTAATCTATTTCTCAATGTTGAGCTATTCTTTTCTAGACAAAACAGGATTTTCCCCAATGGTTCATTGTGGGTATAGGTCAAAATGTCAAGTTTTAGTTTGTTCCCAAGCGTTGAGATATTTCTATGTGATTTTGTTTACCGATGGTACATTGTGGTTACAAGTCAAAATCCCCAAAAGTTTGACTCATTAGGTAGTTTTAATTTGCTACTAAATTTCGAGATATTTCTAAATGACCAAATATGGACTTTTTCCAATGGTACATGTCAAAATTCCCAAAGGTTTTACTCATTAAGTAATTTTAATTTGTTTCTAATTATTGAGATATTTCTAAATGTCAAAAAAAGATTTATTTACAATAGTACATTGTGGTTACAAGTCAAATTCCCAAAGCTTTTACTCGCTAGGTAGTTTTAATCTATTTCTCAATGTTGAGCTATTCTTTTCTAGACAAAACAGGATTTTCACCAATGGTTCATTGTGGGTATAGGTCAAAATGTCAAGTTTTAGTTTGTTCCCAAGCGTTGAGATATTTCTATGTGATTTTGTTTACCGATGGTACATTGTGGTTACAAGTCAAAATCCCCAAAAGTTTGACTCATTAGGTAGTTTTAATTTGCTACTAAATTTCGAGATATTTCTAAATGACCAAATATGGACTTTTTCCAATGGTACATGTCAAAATTCCCAAAGGTTTTACTCATTAAGTAATTTTAATTTGTTTCTAATTATTGAGATATTTCTAAATGTCAAAAAAAGATTTATTTACAATAGTACATTGTGGTTACAAGTCAAAATTCCCAAAGCTTTTACTCGCTAGGTAGTTTTAATCTATTTCTCAATGTTGAGCTATTCTTTTCTAGACAAAACAGGATTTTCCCCAATGGTTCATTGTGGGTATAGGTCAAAATGTCAAGTTTTAGTTTGTTCCCAAGCGTTGAGATATTTCTATGTGATTTTGTTTACCGATGGTACATTGTGGTTACAAGTCAAAATCCCCAAAAGTTTGACTCATTAGGTAGTTTTAATTTGCTACTAAATTTCTAGATATTTCTAAATGATCAAATATGGACTTTTTCCAATGGTACATGTCAAAATTCCCAAAGGTTTTACTCATTAAGTAATTTTAATTTGTTTCCAAATAGTGTCATATTTTTAAATAACAAAACAGGATTCCCAACCCTTTCACATATTTTTTCACACAATAAATTACACTATGGATATTTATCAATGTTCAATATGATTGTATTCACAGATCGAGGCTACAAAATATATATATGAGCCACTGAAACTCTCCTTTTTGTTTGAACATTACTTTAAGGGATAAATATTATACAATCCTGAGACTTAACTTCACCCTGACTCTGTTACAGATGAATTCAGTCACCATGAATAAAGATAGAATACTTTCTGACAGGACCATTCGTCGTCAATCTGCCATCAAGGCTGAAGAAATGATAACAGTTTTAGAATTAGAAAGAAATAATAAAGCTTGCGATGACATAAATCAGGAAAATAATTATGGTGTTCAGGACTTTGACACTTTCATGTTGAATGATGACAATTGTGATGATCCAGTTTGTAATGTTGCCCATGAGGAAGAAGCTTTTGCAGTTAGTGATGTAGACTGTGATTCAGATGCAGGTGTTTTTGGAAATGATCCAAACAGTGAAAGCGAGTCTAGTTGTGACAGTGACGTAGAATCATTGGGCGACGAATCAGACAACTTCAGGGACAAGCTTAGAGAATGGGTCCTCAACAGTTCAACGCCATTAGCACATACAAACACCCTACTTGCTCTACTCAGGCCTTTTTTCCCTTCACTTCCCAAGGATGGGAGAACATTGCTTCAAACAAAAAGAACATACACAATTGAAAACATAGCTGGGGGCAAATATTACCATTTTGGAATTGAAGCTGGACTCAAACTGAAACTACACAAACTCAAGTACTTGCATCAATATGATGAACTTCTTCTTCAGCTGAACATTGATGGACTACCGCTTTTCAAAAGTACAAATCATTCATTCTGGCCCATCTTAGGACTTGTAAGACAAGAAATTGAACCTGAACCATTTGTTATTGGTTTGTGGTTGGGGTCATCAAAACCAAATGACGTAAATTCGTACCTGCAGTATTTCATTGATGAAATGAAGGCAATCATGGTCAGTGGTGTAACTGTTGGCAATAAAGTACATAAGGTTACCATTGAAAATTTTGTGTGTGATACACCTGCACGTTCAATGGTCAAACTAACAAAAGGTCATAGTGGCTACTATGCATGTGACTACTGTGAACAACCTGGAGAGTATGTAATGCACAGAATGACATTTCCTGATGTTAAGGCCAGATTAAGGACAAACGTTGCTTTTGATGAGATGACCTGTGAAGAACATCATCGTGGTGTATCAAAGTTGAGGGAATTAAACATAGGGATGGTCACACAATTTCCTCTCGACTATATGCATCTGATTTGTTTAGGCATTGTTAAAAAAATCTTAAACATTTGGACTAAAGGACCATTACATGTCCGCATCGGAGCTGCCAAAACCAACTTGCTGTCAAATGCTATTTTGGCCCTTGGATCTTTTTTGCCAAGAGAATTTGCTCGTAAAGGAAGAAGACTTGATGAAATTGAAAGATGGAAAGCGACTGAACTTAGGACATTCCTTTTATATACGGGACCTGTATGCTTAAAAGCGACAGTGTCCGATATTGTCTATAAAAACTTCATGATGCTTTCCGCCGGGGTTTCTCTGCTTTGCAACAGTAGTCTATATTCTCAGTGTGTTGATTATGTTGAAGAACTCTTTGTTTCTTTTGTCCAACATTTTGGCCAGCTGTATGGTCGAGAAATGCTTGTATACAATGTTCATGCTTTGATACACCTACCAGCATGCTCGAGGCGATTTGGGCCACTACACAACTTTTCAGGATTCCCATTTGAAAACTATCTTCAGACACTGAAAAGATTAATTAGGAAACCTAAATATCCTCTTGAACAGGTTGTTCGTCGTTTAAGAGAAAAGATGCATCTGGTGTCGGCTGAAAAAAAAAGTAGAATATATTGTAAAAAGAAACATTGTAAAGGGCCTCTTTCAGATATTTCTGCTTTCTGCACTCAGTTTGAACAAATTCAGATGCCAAATTTTTTGTTGTCAATTAAAGCACCAGACAATTCGGTACTTATTGGAAAAGACACATACATAATTAAGAATGTGATATGTCAAGATAATTTGAGACTCTGTGTTTGCCAAAAATTTGGTGATCGACAATGCTTCTTTGATTATCCTTTTGATTCTCTCAAGGTGAATATATCTGTCGTCAGCAACCTTGGTGAACACTTGTATGTTTTTGACACAAGGGATATAACTGCAAAGGTTGTTCTCTTACCATTTAATGAACATTATGTGTCCATTCCAATGATATAGTGCTCTTATATTATTATATACTTCAGTAAAAAGACTGAATTTTCTGAAGTTGAGAAAAGTGATATTGTAACTGCAGTGAACATAACACTTTCACAGTGCTATTGTCATGCAGAAGTTGCTTCCCCTGAAATTGTTTCCATGTTATTGTGTCAATGAAAGCACCTGAACACTTGTATGTTTTTGACACAAGGGATATAACTGCAAAGGTTGTTCTCTTACCATTTAATGAACATTATGTGTCCATTCCAATGATATAGTGCTCTTATATTATTATATACTTCAGTAAAAAGACTGAATTTTCTGAAGTTGAGAAAAGTGATATTGTAACTGCAGTGAACATAACACTTTCACAGTGCTATTGTCATGCAGAAGTTGCTTCCCCTGAAATTGTTTCCATGTTATTGTGTCAATGAAAGCACCTGAACACTTGTATGTTTTTGACACAAAGGATATAACTGCAAAGGTTGTTCTCTTACCATTTAATGAACATTATGTGTCCATTCCAATGATATAGTGCTCTTATATTATTATATACTTCAGTAAAAAGACTGAATTTTCTGAAGTTGAGAAAAGTGATATTGTAACTGCAGTGAACATAACACTTTCACAGTGCTATTGTCATGCAGAAGTTGCTTCCCCTGAAATTGTTTCCATGTTATTGTGTCAATTAAAGCATCTGAACACTTGTATGTTTTTGACACAAGGGATATAACTGCAAAGGTTGTTCTCTTACCATTTAATGAACATTATGTGTCCATTCCAATGATATAGTGCTCTTATATTATTATATACTTCAGTAAAAAGACTGAATTTTCTGAAGTTGAGAAAAGTGATATTGTAACTGCAGTGAACATAACACTTTCACAGTGCTATTGTCATGCAGAAGTTGCTTCCCCTGAAATGGTAATATTTGCCCCCAGCTATGTCTTCAGTAAAAAGACTGAATTTTCTGAAGTTGAGAAAAGTGATATTGTAACTGCAGTGAACATAACACTTTCACAGTGCTATTGTCATGCAGAAGTTGCTTCCCCTGAAATTGTTTCCATGTTATTGTGTCAATGAAAGCATCTGAACACTTGTATGTTTTTGACACAAAGGATATAACTGCAAAGGTTGTTCTCTTACCATTTAATGAACATTATGTGTCCATTCCAATGATATAGTGCTCTTATATTATTATATACTTCAGTAAAAAGACTGAATTTTCTGAAGTTGAGAAAAGTGATATTGTAACTGCAGTGAACATAACACTTTCACAGTGCTATTGTCATGCAGAAGTTGCTTCCCCTGAAATTGTTTCCATGTTATTGTGTCAATTAAAGCACCTGAACACTTGTATGTTTTTGACACAAGGGATATAACTGCAAAGGTTGTTCTCTTACCATTTAATGAACATTATGTGTCCATTCCAATGATATAGTGCTCTTATATTATTATATACTTCAGTAAAAAGACTGAATTTTCTGAAGTTGAGAAAAGTGATATTGTAACTGCAGTGAACATAACACTTTCACAGTGCTATTGTCATGCAGAAGTTGCTTCCCCTGAAATGGTAATATTTGCCCCCAGCTATGTCTTCAGTAAAAAGACTGAATTTTCTGAAGTTGAGAAAAGTGATATTGTAACTGCAGTGAACATAACACTTTCACAGTGCTATTGTCATGCAGAAGTTGCTTCCCCTGAAATTGTTTCCATGTTATTGTGTCAATGAAAGCACCTGAACACTTGTATGTTTTTGACACAAAGGATATAACTGCAAAGGTTGTTCTCTTACCATTTAATGAACATTATGTGTCCATTCCAATGATATAGTGCTCTTATATTATTATATACTTCAGTAAAAAGACTGAATTTTCTGAAGTTGAGAAAAGTGATATTGTAACTGCAGTGAACATAACACTTTCACAGTGCTATTGTCATGCAGAAGTTGCTTCCCCTGAAATGGTAATATTTGCCCCCAGCTATGTCTTCAGTAAAAAGACTGAATTTTCTGAAGTTGAGAAAAGTGATATTGTAACTGCAGTGAACATAACACTTTCACAGTGCTATTGTCATGCAGAAGTTGCTTCCCCTGAAATTGTTTCCATGTTATTGTGTCAATGAAAGCACCTGAACACTTGTATGTTTTTGACACAAAGGATATAACTGCAAAGGTTGTTCTCTTACCATTTAATGAACATTATGTGTCCATTCCAATGATATAGTGCTCTTATATTATTATATACTTCAGTAAAAATACTGAATTTTCTGAAGTTGAGAAAAGTGATATTGTAACTGCAGTGAACATAACACTTTCACAGTGCTATTGTCATGCAGAAGTTGCTTCCCCTGAATGGTAATATTTGCCCCCAGCTATGTCTTCAGTAAAAAGACTGAATTTTCTGAAGTTGAGAAAAGTGATATTGTAACTGCAGTGAACATAACACTTTCACAGTGCTATTGTCATGCAGAAGTTGCTTCCCCTGAAATTGTTTCCATGTTATTGTGTCAATGAAAGCACCTGAACACTTGTATGTTTTTGACACAAAGGATATAACTGCAAAGGTTGTTCTCTTACCATTTAATGAACATTATGTGTCCATTCCAATGATATAGTGCTCTTATATTATTATATACTTCAGTAAAAAGACTGAATTTTCTGAAGTTGAGAAAAGTGATATTGTAACTGCAGTGAACATAACACTTTCACAGTGCTATTGTCATGCAGAAGTTGCTTCCCCTGAAATGGTAATATTTGCCCCCAGCTATGTCTTCAGTAAAAAGACTGAATTTTCTGAAGTTGAGAAAAGTGATATTGTAACTGCAGTGAACATAACACTTTCACAGTGCTATTGTCATGCAGAAGTTGCTTCCCCTGAAATTGTTTCCATGTTATTGTGTCAATGAAAGCACCTGAACACTTGTATGTTTTTGACACAAAGGATATAACTGCAAAGGTTGTTCTCTTACCATTTAATGAACATTATGTGTCCATTCCAATGATATAGTGCTCTTATATTATTATATACTTCAGTAAAAAGACTGAATTTTCTGAAGTTGAGAAAAGTGATATTGTAACTGCAGTGAACATAACACTTTCACAGTGCTATTGTCATGCAGAAGTTGCTTCCCCTGAAATTGTTTCCCTTTATAGTAACTCTGACAGAGAACACATTTGACTTAGAGATTGACTACCTGAACACAAATAGCCAACGTGTGCTATGCAAAGACATTTATCAAACCCAATAAATGTTATAATCAATAAGTGTAGTGTTACCACACTATAGCCATTGGAATTGAAATAATGTGAAAAAAGATACTTCTCTTTTTTCTCTTCAAATGGTCCTCTTGCGATCCCACAGAACTTTATGTAAACACATTACATACAAAGTCAAGGACGGAAGTTAGGGAAGTTATTCTAAATGACCTTTGATCGAACAGCAGCCATTCAGCATTTAAGATGCATGTTAAAGTATGATGTTACGAGATGTATATGTGTCTATCGGGAAACCTGACACATGAAATATCCTCCATAACCATGTTCACTCTATCCTTAAACACTGTATTATAATATTTCATTAATGAATGAATTCTTACTTGTGTTTTCATGAATGATATCATTGACTACTATCATTACTCTCTGGAAGCATAACATTCCAAACTGAAAGAAACATTAGTCTCAGTCATTGCAGCTATCTGGTTGTCCTGTGGTGATTCAGAGCCTACTGACAGCACTTGTGAATGTAAGTGCTAGTCTTCATACTGTAGTGAACTTAAACTTTAAAAAGAGCCACATAAAGCCATAAGAATATATAGGCACATTGGTTGCTTTTTGTCATCCGAAACAATGATTAAAATGAGAAATTAATACACACAATCCATTTTAACTTCAGTAGTTTCTGAGAAAACTGGTCCATCCCTGTGAAATAATAATCGGCATTTAAGAAATTTGAAAGACAGATAAAGTATTTGTTATTTAGAAAATACAGACGTTGTCCCCTAATGCCAATCAACTGAAACTACTTGGGAAAACCTTGATGAATGTTTTGGAGTCAATGGGTACCCCATGCTGTATGAAAGGTAGCGGAACATCAAATGGAATTAGAGAGTTAACTATTACATAACATATTCTGAAATATTTATAAGAAACTTTGATTTTTTACAGATCTAGGATGTATGCCATTGTACTTTTTGAGCTCAGCGATGAGGTGGAAGTTGTCCCAAAATCTTGGATTCAAGGGAAAACATGCTTTTGGCCTGACCACATCAGAGGTTCGAACCTGACAAAGTCAATTGAAAAAGGAATTCAACCAGAGCCAGACTGGCAAATTTATGCCATCACTAGCGTATTAAAAGAATTAGGTAAGTTTTGTTTTTGTTTGAAATCTGTTATTGTTTTTATGAGTTGACAAAGCTTGATATTTGTTCAGGTTACCTTATTTGTGAAATTGAAAGCCTACTTAAATTATACCTACCTAATTAATATATACTGCTCTTAATCATTTTAGATGACTATCAGAAAGCTCGTCTGAAATGCAGGAAACTTGAATACAGGCTGTCCACGGACCTTGACACAACAGATGTTGAGTCTAGATCGAGAAAGAGGTAAACCAAAATATTCTCAAAAAAATTCAAACTGCAATTAAAAGTTATGTTAAGCCTACAGAAAGTAGCATTTGGTCTATAAATGCTCATCCAAATGTATTCAGCACTCTCGTCCTTTGCCCAGGGATTATCCTGGAAATTTTTACCTATGAGAGAAAATCTCCCCTGGTCCAAAAGCAATGAGATTTTTTGGCGTGTGATGAGATTTTGCTATATTTCATGAGATATTTCATATTCACACAGTGTAGAAACTGTATTTGATTTTTGGTACTTGTGACTCAAATAATGTTGCAAGTAATATTACTAGATTATATAGATATATCCTATTTTACTAAATCCATTTATCGATATCAAACTTAGTACTGAACCTTTTCTGTTGTACCTTAAATTTGAAAAAAATATCTATTAAGTAACTTTAAAGTTATAAGCGTTAGAAATTGGCACAAGTCATAGCCCTTGTCAAACTGCCCAATGGTAAAGGTATCATAAGGACTAGTAGAAATTTGCCCTTTTAAGGGTTTGGCTGTATGTTATGACTATAAGGACTAGTGGACGAAAACTGTTAGTTTCTAACCCTGGTATATGTCACACAAATAATAAAGTAAAAATATTCCAAGCAAAATAAATTAAAAAGAGTTGTAATTTTTCAGAAGATCCAAGTTGAACTGAAAATTTAAAATAAAGTTTGTACTGTACCTCTCTTGTTGAAATAGAAACTGTCCACCAAAATGGTAAAAAATCATTAAGTAGTTTTTGAGTTACAAATTTGGAAGTAAAAAATATTCCAAGTTCGCAAACTTTGCACTGCATCACCTCTTTTAGGTCTGGGTAAAATAAATGAGTATCAAATTTTTTCACACTTAGGCGTCGTCCAAACAAATATTGTTCCGACCAGGAAGAACAGGGCGAAGTTGACTTGTCTAGAAACAAGACATTTTCACAAGTCGGTTACAGGTTTGTCATGTTTGTCACAATCGTAAATTTTTTTTTAATCTTTGAAAAGGGATCACTACTTCTTAATGTTGTAAATTATGACACTAGGTGATGAAAATTGCCACTTAACCAGCATGTTGGTCATTGACTTAAATAGTTACCTAAATTATATTATTGACAAATATTTATACACCATTGTACACATTCATATGACTTGATATAAACTCTGTTCTTTAACTTACATTGCAGTGTCTCCACTTAATCTGGTAAATTTTTAAGGAAAGTAAATGACTTTGGTCTACAATTGATTATTCTTGTTTTCATTAAGTTCAACAAATAACAATGTTGCAGTGAAGAAAGACGCCATGGAAGTGCAAGTAAAGCCTACACTCTTCCTGGTATACCAAGTCTACCAGATTTGTCGATTGCTATTGATCCAAGGTGCTTATTTGTTTTATGAATAATTATTTTAATATACATGGGTAGGAAATATATCATATATGGATAGAAACTTGAATTTAGAGCTTTGTAAACAATACAAGAATAAAAATAATTCTTAATGGTTTTAGCATGTGGAAAGTCATAAATTGACACAATATATTTGACAATGCTGAAAATATGGAATGATTTCCTAACTTAATTGTTTATAGAATTACCAGGTACTATCATTATATCGCAAGTTGCAACTGTGAACGTATTTTACATTTTCAGTTCTGACACGGATCGTGACGCTCAATTAAGTCCAACAATTCCCACCAGACAGATGACTCCAGATGAGCAGCCGGGTCCATCAAATAGCAATTATCGCTCGACTACTGCTCCAACCAAGCAATATTTCCCTTCAAAGTTAGTGTTATAATGATATATATGAGATAGCTAAACGATAAAAGGGAAATGACATTGTAAACCTATAGAAAGTGTGTTCTGTGCTGTGATTGGCTAATTTGGGTCACATGACCAAATGTCAGAGGGTGAAAATATGATTTGAATTCCCTGAAGCAAGCGACCGAATCACTGTGTAGGAATACATAATTACTCAGCATTTTTTGGCATACTAATTAACAATGGACGCAAATTGAAATACAAAATTCATAACAAATATTTTGATTTTCTCTATTCAGGGGAATTATTGGGATTTTAAAATTTTAATTAAAAAAAATTACAATGAAATAATTACCAAAATCACAATCACCATAGCGACAAACGCGCTCCTGGAGAATCCTGAGATATCACTGTTCCGTATATCAAACGGCATAAAAAAATCCAAGACCAAGCCAATTCTTCAAGAAATGTGTGCATATAATTTAACGAAAAATAATATCGATTTTGGTTAAGTTATATCGTCAGTTTTAGTTATAAAAGAAAATGAAATGGCTATTCATGGACACTATTTATATGAACTTATAATATTGACCATTACACTCCCTAGAAATACATACAAGATGAAATGTAAATGTACCTGTCACATGTACACTTGTTCAAATTAAAGAAATATCGTATACGACACTATATAAACTTATCAACTTCATATGTGAACATTGTTCAAACAGGAGATTATCAAACGTTCATATATGTTGTGGCCTATATCTATGTATGATATCATATTGAACATTGATTAATATCCAAAGTGAAATTAATTGTGTGAAAAAAATGTACAAAAGATATGCAAGATCTACATCATGAAACAGTAAAAAGCAGTTAACAATGATCGTGTGTACTTTCATTCAAGCACCTTCACCTCAGAGAAATTACCAAATATGTACAACAAATATGTTGAAGTTTGACATCACTACCGGTGACCGAATTTTACAAAAAGGCGTGTTGACTGTCAACAGTGCGCGGGATTTTTACGAGGGGACTTTCGTTGATTCAGGGTTCGTATATACATAAATGTGACATGTAAGTAATCAGAAACATTCTGACAATCTGTCTACTGTTTTTTGTTGTATGTTTCATTGAAACCAACGAAAATAGTCAGAAATTCTGATAAATACCGTTGCCGTTGTGCGTGATTTTGCGTCAGTCATAGCGTCACACAGGACGGGAACTTCGACAAGTTCTGTTGAAAATATCAAATTATTGCAATGTATATATGTTTAATTCCCTAATTCTTCCTACGATTCTCTTCCCGTGTATATTCTGAAAATGCAGATCTCGAGGCAATGTACTCAACGAATAGACGAATGGCTTTGTTTACATTTCCAACAAGTGCAGTTTTTTGAGCGTTCGTTTTCACACCTCAATTATTTTGCTTCATTACATCTAGACAATTTGTATTGGTGACAAAGACCATTTGGCCTTTGATTCTAAAAAGTATGAGGAATTCAAGGATGTAGGTATCGCAGATGAAATATACGTGATGGTATTTGCGTCTCATTACCGGTGTACGTTATTACCAAAATCACAATCACCATAGCAGCGACAGAACGTTCGATGTTGACGCCTCACAACCAGGTAAGTACGAGGTGTTAAAGAGTGCGCATGTTTTTTTTCTAAATAAAACAATAGGTTTACAATATCGATAAATACTATGTGTGTGTCTATTTCCGGGATTTTATCGAGTATTTGCATCTTGGAAATTTTAATTCGAGCCCCCCAAGCTAACGCTTTCGGGTCTCGAGATGAATTTCCAAGATGCAAATACTCGATAAAATCCCGGAAATAGACACACACATAGTATTTATCTTCTAAATGGACCCCTCATGGTGTATTCTCCCTGCGGTGTTTTAGTGTCAAAAAAAATAAAACACACACAAAAAAACAAACTCCAACTCTTCATCTATTTCTTAAACAGTGTATGTAATTGGGAAAACCATCACAAACAAACCAGTCGTGCGTATTATGAGAAATAAATTTGGTTGCATTTCTTATCACTTTGTATTGACATAGTTGGGTATAATCTTACACAAGTGTTGTGTTTTCATATAAAATTTACTGACATGAACTAAATGCAAGAAGAAATTACATTATTCGCGGCTTAATGGACAGATTGGTCGTGATTTTATTTTTTTAACTTGATAACTTGCCAGTAAGAAAATAAATATGACAATTTATTAATAGTGTACGTCTATTTTAAATTACAGCGCTACTGGTCTCCGACCTCAAAACAGAATGTCAGTTGGGTAAGTTGTTAGTTTTTTTAAGTATCCCTATCTTCCGTACTGAAATTGGCAGCATGCCTTTAACTTTCAAAGAAACATGACTAATATTGGGGATGGTAGAAGAAAAGGACTGCTTATTGACGTGATATCCGCTTCAATAAAAATTATAAATGTTATGAGTCATGAAAAAATATCAGAGGAAAACAAAGACATGTATTCTTTACTAGTGCCTCGGGTATTGACTAATCAGTGTATGTGCCATTTTCAAATTGGTAGATTGACACAATATATTTGACAATGCTGAAAATGTGGAACGATTTCCTAACTTTATTGTTTATAGAATTACCAGGTACTATCATTATATCGCAAGTTGCAACTGTGAACGTATTTTACATTTTCAGTTCTGACACGGATCGTGACGCTCAATTAAGTCCAACAATTCCCACCAGAAGACAGATGACTCCAGATGAGCAGCCGGGTCCATCAAATAGCAATTATCGCTCGACTACTGCTCCAACCAAGCAATATTTCCCTTCAAAGTTAGTGTTATAATATTATATATAAGATAGCTAAACGATAAAAGGGTAATGACAATGCACCCCTCATGGTGTGCCTCGGGTATTGACTTATCAGTGTATGTGCCATTTTCAAATTGGTAACAGTTACATTTAGAACCACTACTCAATGAGAGGAGCAGAAGAGTTGTTATGTTTTAACGGTTTACTCCATTATTAACAGATCCAGCCACAGTGTGATAAGGGATGACATGGAAGTCAATCTTCCAATCGACCCTCTCGAAAGGTAAGAGATAGTTCATTAATCAAGGTATGATACTTAATTATAGCTTAGAGTGAGTTTGGTTTAACACCGCTTTTAATACCTTATTCCAGTTATATTACGGTGTGTCAGCTTAATGTGGGAGGAAAGCCCCCAAGTTATACAGGTCTCCGACTTTTACCACTTAGTTGTTACAAGTAAGCAATTTTTTAAACTTGGAATGGGCATAGGCTAAACATCTGTTGTGACATTGAAATTACATCTCTTTAATCAAATTAACACTCAAATTTGTATTGTTAAGAAAAACACTCAAACTTAGGGTCAGATGAAGCTAAATGTCTTTGGTATTACTTACTATGTCCTTGGTGTTTCCACAAGTCAGCAAATCTTTGAAGGTAGCGTTAATGTGTAAAACATACCTTGTGCCATTATACTTACAACTCTGAACTCATTAACACCTACATTTCTGAGAAAGAAACTAACTTAAATCTCTTTATAATCACTAATAATGTCTTTGGTGCAACAGTTTTACCAGAGGAAATTCTAAAAATGATTCAGGGAAGCACATTACATGATTTTTAACAAGTACAATAAAAGTATACTGAAATTATATGGATCATTTTGGTAATGTGCGTGACACACAGAAGGGAAAATTTTAATTTTTATTTCTCACAATGAGCGATGAACTAGGCTTTAAAATGTAGTTTTATATGACAGGTGAGATTCTTTTTCTTATCTATGCAGAGGTATAATATAAGTTTAACAATAATACACTTAAACTGATATTGTATTTAAATCTTATATCTGCAAAAGATAGCTAACTATAACCGTTACAACAAGGACAATAACTTTGTACTGTTTCCCCGAAAGATGTAAAATATGACAAAATTGTTTCTTTGTGTTGGCATAATTTACCCAACTATTTTGTTAAGTTTAGATGTTTCTTGATAATCACTCAAATAACTTTAACTTTTCAAGTTTTAGTTTTTGTTTATTCAACAGGACAATAAGGGGTACTAAATTTTGATAAACTAATGACTATTTTGATGCATTTCATTTGTTGAGTTGTTGGTGATAGATGAAATATATAATTTCAGAGACCGACTACTATTTAAAACATTGCTAACAATAAAGGCAATGGTCAAGAACAATGGCATGGCCATAAATAGATTGTCAGAGCAGGCCGACAAGTCAGGAATACAAGAGGAATCGATCGAAGAGTTTGGATTCCCCTATAAAACAATTGAAGATGTCAGACGAGTTGAGAAGGTCTTGGATGAAAAACCCAAGTTTAAACTTTTGGTGAGGAAAAAAAAAGTTACTAAGATATTCAACTGACTAGGGATGAGTATTGGATGTTGTACGTGTATAAAAATATTTTACAATACACAAGGCCGCCTTACGATACATATCATAATATACTGTACTGTTTTCTACAAACCCAAGTCAAAGAACAACAAACTTAAGATGGCTGATATTGAATATCTACCCTCTTCAACTGATTATAATCTTTGTCAGTGTGACAATTGGTATTGATTTTCATAATGTCATTTAACAACAAAAAAAGTAGCCAAATTTCTTTTAAAACCTTTAGAATACAGTACCACAAACACGTGACAATAACCTATGACGTAATTTGTAGTATTTTGTTGCCAGTCACACTGGGGAATCAATGCCCTGTGACGTAAGGGGTCATCGAGTGTGCATAAGCTCTTCCCAGTGATCTATCATCTCTACATGAAATGCCACTGAATATGCCAAGCAGTGTGGAGGGTTTTGACTATTTGTTTACTAAATATAGCCTGCAGCGGCGCATTGTGTAGCAAGTGCTAGTTTAAGAATGCACTTTTATTTTTTAATATTTTTTTCTCGTTACATAAGTGGCTAAAATGGTTATAAGTGGGAATTAAAATACATATATTTTTTCGGTTCATTACTTTTCACTATTATGCACAAGAATGCAGTTTATAAGGGATATCAGCGGTAGAAACTAACTGTTTCAGTCCACTAGTCCTTAAAATGATAACAGAGAGCAAAACCTTTAAAATTGGCTAATTTCTACTAGTCCTTAGGATACCTTTACTATTGGGCAGTTTGGCAAGGACTATAGGACTACTGCCAATTTATAACCCTGGATATTATATGGGCGCTGAACACAACCAAATATCGCTAGTGTTAGGGTAGGTTACCCCAAACTCTATCCTTAGCCCTTGGATCCCCTTTACGATCATTGACCCCTTTACTATCATTAGGGTTAGGTACCCGTTTAGTGCCTATTGGATTACCCGAACTGTCCTTAGCCCTTGGATACCCTTTGCGATCATTAGGTTTAGGTAAATCTACCTGTTTAGTGGCCATTATAGATTCTGTAGCGGCTCCTAATATTCTACACACAAAAATGTCAAGTTAAAAGGATGAAATGGTTTTGTGTCGAATAATTTGGCTACTGAAAACTGTCCTGGAACATACACACAAGCCACTTTCACCAGCTACATTTTTTCAGTACTGAATGAAAAGCGAACTCAACATCGTGTCGTCGCTCATGCCTCCCTCGTTTCTTACTATTTTCCAAATCATCCTTACAGTTTTCCCTACCACACTTTTCTGTCACAAAATACACCTGACGAATTATTAAATAATACATTACATTGTCATTCATGCGTACTCGCGAGTTCGACATCTGATGCCTGGAGACATTTTCAGTTCGCACTATACGGAATGGGACGAGTGTGCTAAATGGCATAGGGACAATTCGTAAGTGTCTGTAGACTAAAGTCACGAGACACCATGCCTACCCGTAACCTTCGCAAGTGTCCGTGACCTATACGACCCTTTTCGTTCAGTTCCGTAACATCGTAGGTATGACTAGGTAAATTTGCACTTTGAGACAAGTGACCTACGACAGAGACTGTCCTCACGAGAAGATGTGTTACTGCATTCTAACGGTGATCCAACATCACATATGACTACAAATACTTGTGAATCCAGTGCACAGATTATTTGAAAATTTGAAAAAAGACAGTTTTTATATTTAAATGTACCAAAAGCTGTCAGTGGTGTAACAATTTCGATAGTTAATTAGATAAAATTTACACATTGAAACTGTTGTTTCCATGTGGACTGATACAGTATAAATTTACCTCTGCGTGTCAGTTGGAAGACCTGTTCTGGGGAAAACCCAAGTGATATATGCAGAAAGCCTGTGTCAATGCCGGAGACACCCTTTTTCTTCAGGGAAAGTCAACTTGGCCTGGTACTAAGTTGACTGATGGGCTTGAAAAAATTGTACAGTATCATGAATGACATGAAGGATCGTACAAATGTAACAAAATTCAAACATGTCTCACCTTATAGGTACAATTGTAATCACACCTACTCTTGACTCATTTAACCAAAACAAATACACATAAATATATTGTAATTTACATGATAAATTAATAGCAGAGACCATGGTCTCTGTTAATAGTAATTCATATGCTCACATCAAATGTTTCAAAATTACAGGACAAAGTAATACTTACTAAAGGCAGCAAACACTATAATGTAACATTACTATTTTTAGGAATGTTACACATTAAGAATATTACATGAATTTGCATGAACCTTACTGATTTTTTAAGCATTTGTGTCATCAAACATTGATGTAAACATAACCCATGCCAATACTAGAAAATATACAACTATAACTTAAAAACACAAAACAAATAATAAAATGTAATACTCCCTCACAAGAATACCACACTCCATCGAGAGTTGCATGAAGCCCGGACTGCAGAGGAAATTATCAGATGTTGACCAACGTGCGCACATGGACTGCCTCGTCGATTGTCACATCGGGAATGTCAATTAACTTTCCGCACAATTCCGTCCATGAACATCACACCGATTGGCACAATAAAGTTTCCATTACCTGCGTTTCGCCAAATGTATTCGCTTTCAACACAGCAGGATAGGATGAACTGCGAAGAAAACTCAGCTCGTCAACACCTCGCACGTGCGCCTGTCGCATGTGGAGGAAGCCAGGCTTCGGAGCACTCACATTTAAGTGTTGACAGTTCAAATTATTTACATGCATTAAAAGATTTACCGGAAAACAGTTTTTCTTTGGCGTTATTTGTTTGAAACTCCTATCGTACCGGCTATGCTTCAGTCAAATCGCTATGCGATCTCGATTCCCGCTCATATGTTCGGCGCCATGTTTGGTTTATCAAAAGTTGAAATGTTCATGCGCTTGCAAGTTAGATGAAATACGTCAATCATAAAATGAGTAATCTTTACTTCAGAACGTGGGAAGTAAATATAAACAGTTCATAAAATTAATGGCATGAGCTCAATTATTTTATGGAGCCTACTATTATTTTCCTAAATTAGTACTATATCTTGTTTGCGTGCATGAAGCCATGTGTGAAAAGGTCAATGTGGTGTATTAGGGAGAATTTAGATTTCCGTTTTATTTATTTAGGGTATTTTGTTTAAAAAAAAACAGTCAACAACAAATGAAGCACATAATAAATATGATATTTCCTGTGTCTGCGCCACTTGTGAAATTATTACCTTTTCCATGTCACTCGATTTGAGATATATTTCATGTATGTCAGTACGCATGAAATACACCGTATTCGACGTAATAAGCGCCCAGGCTGCTCTCAAAATTAGAAATGGGGGGCTCTGATAAGAATACAATTTTGGTATAAAAAAACCAGAGTTGAAGTTCGTAAATTTCGTGGTTTATGCTGACAGCCTGAAATGATACAAAAGAAAAGTCTGTGCGTATTACACACGACAGATATAGTTTTCGAGAATTTCATTGCCCATAATTAAGTGTGCATAGAACACCCAAGTGCGTATTAAACACGAATAAATAAGTCTTGTGTACATTGACCAATGGGAAAGGTGCTAATTTGGAGTTGTTCACTAGCCAATATAATAGCAAATATAGCCGTGGGTGCTTAATAGAACGTAGCGCTTATTATGTCGAATACGGTACTCGAAATCTATATTATGATACAGTTTATCACGTCCATTACCATTCAGATTTTCACTGTGTACATTTTAATATTTCCTGAAAAAAGGTTTTAATGTAATGTGCCAGAAAGATTGAAATATATGAAAAGAAAATGTAAATGTTTTGCGTATTAACCTTGTGTATGTCTATTTGCATGTTTTACTTTAAATTTAAACAGGTGCGTCATCTTAGTGGATTGGGTGGGTTTTCTGTGAAAGAGGTCGTTGACAGGATGATGACACTCATTTTCACGACTCAAATGGCACGACAGTTCAACTGGCTCGGCAAAGCACCAAAATATGGCATGAAGAGCCTAAAAATAACTTCAGCACTAAAGGGTATTAATCGTCATTAATTTTCAAATGGAAGTTAATGTTTTTTTTCTCTTTTTCACACACATAATTTAATATGGAAGAAATTAAAATTTCTAATGTTAATACTGTCACTCAAATTCACTTTGACAGTCTGTGTATTAAATAAGGGAAATGGTTTAACCCCTGATTAGAATTTTCATCATGAGCCATTTAAAGTCAATTTCATTCATTGTTTCTAATCTCAAGAGTACTTATTAAAGTGAAGTGTTTTAACTTAGTTGACGCAAATATTCATTTAGTCTGATTTTTGTTCCACACAGAAGCGGGTAAACGTCAGGCAACGGAAGCCGAAATTGAACATGCGATCAGACTATGGGTAAAGAACGCCCATGACAGAGATGGGGGGAGAAGGCAAAGGGCAGAGAGGAAGAGGGGTAAGATGAGATAATATACTTACATTTCTCTTAGTTATATAATGTTATAACAGTAAATATGTTATTAAGACCAAATTTGGAATAATTTTGACTACCTTTAGATTACACAAAATATGTGTGTGTGTATGGAAAATTGCAAAAAAATTCTTAGTACTATATTTTCTATGTGCCATAACGGCTGTGTGATAAATATTGTGACAGTACAAAAAGGATCTAACATTTTTTTTAATATAACAGTATTGTACATCATAACATGTTTTGCATATATTGTCATTTTGGTTATTTTGTAAGTACTAGGCCTTGGTGTACAATAACAACAATTTGTCTCTTTAAAATGAAGATACTTTAAAAAAGTATGTTGTGCTGCTCTCACGTAATGTAACAGCAATTTTTACCTAAGTCTATATATTCTTCATTTTCAGAGAGGGACGCTCAAGCAAAAGAAAGTGTGGCCCGAGCAAGGGCCATTCTCACTAACGCATCTGATTCCTCAGACTCAAATTAAAACATAATTTTACTGTATATAAGCGTATTTTGTTGTTGATGGTGTATTTGTTTGTTGGTTTGTTTGTTTGATGTTTGTCGTTTTTTAACACCGCAATTAGCAATATTACAGCTATGTGACGGCGGTCTGTAAATAATCGAGACATCGCAAGCAATTGGAAGTTAACAATGGCATGCATCAACCAAGTGACGGTTATGGTTACCGATAGATCCTATCCGCCCGATTTCGCTAGTGAACAAGCATGGTAGCTGAAGATCAATTCTGACAAGGATCCAAGGTTAGAACTAAACACAATAGTCTTACTAGCCTGGGTAAGGGGAATGCCGTTGTGATGTTAAAATAACTTCATAAATTTGTACCAGGGGACAGAAATTTGTACAAGCCCCGGGCTGGCAGGCTAGTGTTAAGTTCTAGCCCTGAATTATATTCATCAAATTCGATCGCCTCTTACGACCAGCAGTAGCATTGCGCCGTCCCCACGGGTTATGCTGTCGTGGCATGCCACGAGTGGGCCATTGGCTTACCACCGTTTATAGTAGTGGTATGCCACGGGTGGGCCACTGCCTAACCACCGTTTGTGGTTGCCACCGTTGGGCCATCGAATATCAGCTGGACACGCCATGGGTGGCACACCAGCGGCTGCCACTGGTGGCCCACCATTGCAGTATATGGTGGGCCATCAGTGGCCCACCACTGATGTGCTATCTGGGTTTCCACTAATTTCGACCTTCTTGGTTGGTTTGTTGTTTAACGCCGCACTGAGCAATATTCCAGCTATATGACGGCGGTCTAATATATATAATAAATAATCGAGTCTTGACCAGACAATCCAGTGATTAATTTCATGAGCATCAATCCACGCAATGGGATTGATGACGTGCAACCAAGTCAGCGAGCCTGACCACCCGATCCCGTTAGTCGCCTTTGACGGCAAGCATGGGTTGCTGAAGACTTATTCTACCCCGGAATCTTCACGGGTCTCGACCTTCTTGAGCTGGCTGGTGAAGAACTAGTTCTTCATGATTATGCATGTTTAGGTTATTTTCGGATCCTTCTCTGTTTGTTTGCGAGTGTTCGCGTGCAAATGTTTATGTGCCCTTCATTGCTTGAAAACCTATCCAGAGTCGGCGTCTGAATACGTTCATGCATATGCGTATCCCCGTTTGTGAGCGTGCTAGCACGCATTGCCGTATTTGTATGTGTTATGGTAGGAAGCACTATCGTAGCCGACTTTGTATTATGCATAATATTCAGCGAATTTATACAAACCAAATCGCTATCCAACGTACCTGCTGTGTTTTGGGGTACTCCGTCTTCGCTGATCGATCCTGTGCCAGTTGGCGCTTCCACGTCCGTTCCAACCACGTAATTTCTTCTAACCCCCGTCCTACTGGCTTTTGGACCCTTTACCAGTCGGTAGGCCAGCGCCGCTTTCCTTTTAGGAGGCATCCCTCATACACCGAACAAATGAATGAGGTGTGGTGAATTGCAAGAGGTGAAAATCGCTAACCGCCGGACGCGTTGTGTGAACAGTTAGGATGACTTGACGGTTGGGGGAGTAAAAGTTGGGGGAGTAAAAGTAGTGACATCATGGGAGAAATGACGTGTGGTTGCTATGGGGAGTATTTTAGCGTTTGTTGTTTAACGCCGCGCTCAGCAATATTCCAGCTATATGACGGCGGTCTGTAAATAATCGATTCTGGACCAGACAATCCATTGATTGACAGCATGGACATCGATCCACGCAATTGGGATCGATGACATGCGTCAACCAAGTCAGCGAGCCTGACCACCCGATCCCGTTAGTCGCCTTTTACGACAAGCATAGTCGCTTTTTACGGCAAGTATGGGTTGCTACACGGGAAAACCTGTCAGTTTTTTCATGTGTCATTCGATAAAAATGCAAAAACCTGTATCAACAAGTCATGTTTGACTGAGAAAAAGTTACGAAAGGTAGGTAAACTTTGAAAAATACGATTGCTGCCAGTGTCGGAAAGAATGACCCGACTTGACCTAGATTTGAGACAGCTGAAACCAAGTTTCAAGTTTATTCCGGATAAGAAGTTCTGTAGACTACTCAGAGTCAGAATCAACGAGTATTCTTCTCTTCGGGGCCGATATTGTGATGTTGTGATTCATTAATTGTCGAATAACTGTTGATGGACTGGACGTTCTTGTGGCCAGAAACTTGCATAATCTGATGCGCTGGGACACCATTGCCGGATAAAGTTTGGATCATTCGTTTTCTAGCGCTGTGGTTCGTCAACCTTTTGTCCGAGGACAGTCCAGCCCTGGATGCCATGGTCTTCATGAGAGAGCCTAACTTGTTTCTACCAAAGGTTGGCGTTTAAACCAGGTGTTTTCGGATTTTACGCCGAACTGTGTGTTGGGTGCAAGATAAAATGGACTCTCATCATTGCTAAAGTCTCGCTGGCGAACATCCCGATACAACCTGTAAACCGCCAGCGGACAGCATTCGTCCCCAGGTTGAGCCCAGGCTTTGGGTGCCAAGTCATGGGATTGATCACCTTGCCGTGTTTTTGACTGACGTTCCAAATACTGTAAATATTCCTTATTATCGGAATCTGTTTTGAGCGTGATGTCGCCCCACTGCATGCGTCTGTGGGGCGTGGCCGACCTCAGTCCAAAGTAGACTGTATTGTACCACCTCCATGTATTTATATTTAACACAGCTTCTGGAGACTTAGTTCCAAGCTGTCCGCATTCACGGAGTTTATTCAGTTCCATGTCGGACACAGGATCAGCTCGCTGGGGTAAGTTTCCTTTTCCTTGCTTTTTTAATGATTTTTGTTTTGATTTCAAAACCCCTCAATTTAGCAAAGTGCATGGATTCCGCCAGCAGATGTGTGTAATCGTGTCGCTTGAGGTAACGCTCAATGCTAGCCTTGATCCCCTTCAGAGTAGACGGTTCGTATTCCGAACCATCTGATTTGCGTGCCGAAATGAAAAATTTACAAAGAATAATGTTAAGTTCTCTGGGGCTAATTTCTTCCACCTTTCTTGTGTCATTTAAACTTTCCTGTATAAGTTTGTGCACTAAATTCATATCAAGTTTAGTCTTTTTCATAGTGTTTTCGTTTTCGTTGGCAGTTAAGAACTTTTCGATGTCATCATCGTTCACAAAGGCAAACCTGTCTGCATTCAGTCCGGTGTTTGGATTCGGGGGACGAAAAAGTCGTCAAACAGCAAGTCCTCTAGCACAGACGCTGCATGGCAACCCCGGACTTCCGGACCTATAGCTGGAATATTGCTGAGTGCGGCGTTAAACAACAAACCAACCAACCAACGATACTATCTTGAAATTTGAAGATACTAAGTTTCAAGATACTAACTTGAAATTTCACTTAGTTGAAATTTCACTTAGTTGAAGCTTCAAGATTATATCTTGAAATTTCAACTTTTATGTATCTTGAAATGTCGACATAACATCTTGAAATTTCTACTTCGGTATCTTGAGATTTCAACTTCTGTATCTTGAAATTTCAACTTTTGTATGTTTCAATATCTAACATAACATAAAAAAACAAATGGCCCTAAAAGGCTTCTGTACATATGGAGTACATGAATGAAATTTTTTGTCCACCTCCCAGTGGGTCGCGTCAATTTTAAGCCACGTGGAAGTCGTGCCGCACGTGCACTACAGTCCCTCCGACTCATGGCTCCAATGTGGGTTGGTAAGTTTGACAAGCATTTCATGAATTTCATTGCCAGGGCGATCTCATGTTCCCGCGAGATGCCATTTCATCAATGTGGAAAGGAAAACTATTTTTTTTCAATTTCAACTTCTCAATTTACTGATAAGGCAAGATGTAAATGACATTCTTAAAGAGACGACTAACGGGATCGGGTTGTCAGCCGCACTGACCTGAGGTCAGGTTGATGCACGTCTTCGTATCCCAACTGCTTAGATCGATGCTCATGATGTCCATCACTTGATTGTGTGGTCCAGACTCGAGTATTTACAGATCGCCGTCAGAAAGCGAAGCCTTACGAAGTCCGGTTGATATTGATTTCTTAACATAGTAATGTCTAATCTAATTTTCAAGATAATTCTTGAATATCTCTATACTAACTACAGCTGAAAAAAATATAACGATGAGCCTAAGTATTTTTTTATATTTTTCAACAAAGTATCTCGGACTTTCAAGATGGCAATGAAGTGGGCAGGTGACGAATGATTTCCTGGAGAGGTTTTCATTGATAAAATATATTACAAAATCAAGAGGGTTTTTTTTGTTTTGAATAAAATCCCAACATATACTCCGTGAAAACATAATGGTATGTTACTTAAAAGAGCCGGTCACTCGATGAAACACTTGCCGTGTGTCAACTTGTGTATTAAGAGACTGGCTGGTCGGACCTCGCACTGAACAGTCACTCCCAGCCGGCTGGAAGTCTCACAAGAGTAAGTTCAAATTTAACGGCGCATCAGTAAAATGTGTAGTTGAAATTAAGATTGGTTGGTTGTTTAACGCCGCACTCAGCAATATTCCAGCTATATGACGGCGGTCTGTAAATAATCAAGTCTGGACCAGACCAGACAATACAGTGACTGATATCATGAGCATCGATCCATGCAATTGGGTTCGATGACATGTATCAACCAAGTCAGCGAGCCTGACCACCCGATCCCGTTAGTCGCCTCTTACGGCAAGCATGGGTTGCTGAAGACCTCTTCTAGTTGAAATTATGAAGCATGGGTTGAACATACTTGTTGTAGGAGGCGACTTACGGGATCTGCTGGTCAGGCTCGCGGACTTGCCTGATGCATCTCTTCGTATTCCTTGTCGTAAAAGGCGACTAACGGGATCGGGTGGTCAGGCTCGCTGACTTGGTTGATGCATGTCATCGATCCCAATTGCATGGATTGATGTTCATGATGTAAATCACTGGATTGTCTGGTCCAGACTTTGATTATTTACAGACCGCCGTCATATTGCTGAGTGCGGCGTTAAACAACAAACCAACGATACTATCTTGAAATTTGGTAAAAC